AGAAGAATTTAAAATTTGGCATTTCTTAAATATTAGAAATAAGCTAAACAAAACTTTCAAAACTTGTAACTACGAACAAACTCTAAGTCAAGAATGACTTGCCATTCTTCAGTAATGTAATATGCCAAACAAAATGATGCTTGGAAATGTTGAAAATTTTGTTTAGTACCCTAATATTTTACTTCAAATGATATGTTTAGATGTAATCATGTTGGCAAAATGCAAGAATCTGTTCTTAAATATCTTTTAAAAACTTTTTTTTTAATTTTATTGCTCCAAAATGAATTAATTTTAAATCATAATCAGTTAAACTGAAATTAAAATACAGTTTTATCAAAACTATGGGTTTTTGACAGAGGGGTTTTTAACATGACGGTAAAAACCATGGTATAAACCGGTAAAAACCGTCATGTGTCAAAAACTTGCCAACCCTGATTCTAATACGGATGAATTGATAACATATAATGGTATGACATTATATTTTACACATTTTTTTAAGTTAAGTGGAATCTAACGATAGCTTAAATAAAGTTAATATCTTGAGAAACTTCTGCTAGTCTTTGGAGCCGTATTAGGTTTTATACAGTTCTTGTTTCTGTGACTTATTTCCGTTTTGCTCTAAAAATTGCCATTTAAATGTGTTTCTTTTGCTGTCTGCGATGATATTAGCCAAATCTCATCTGAGGAACGAATTTAGGGTATTATTCAGATCACCAGGATAATGAATATCTAGAAACAGAAACTTTTATGTCTTTTTGTTTATTTCTATCTCATAACAAAGAATTTTGTGCTTAGAGTGGTAGCTTTGTACCAAGTTTTAGTTATGTGTCATATAAGGGCAGTAATAATAGATGCTAATGTCTTGTTCTACCATCACAATGCCAAGGAAGTTGTTGTTGTTGTCTTATGTCACTTGTCAATGCTGAGAAGCATATTTTATGGCAAGAGAGATGCGCTCCTTCTTGTTTTTCAGTGACACTATACATAGTCAAGAATTCGACTTCTGCCACACACATTCGTGCATCATCCATCCATCCCCAGATCGTAATTATAATCTGAACAAGAGCACGACCAATCTCCGATCCAGTACCTTCGGAATTATTGATTTGTAATGGGAACTTAGACTTTGTGACTCCGACTGATTTAGCGTGCACCAGTCATCTTTTTATACATCTTCGGCTGGCGGGGACCGAACTAACGCTTCTTGAACTTAGGCCTAACGCCCTACCAACCAGTTTATCCCGACCCTACCAGTGGAAGTAATTAACGTGAATGAAACGGTCCTACCGATGATGAAGCGAGGAACTATTGTGTTTAGGTACAGGATAGTTCTACCAGGAACTATTTTTTTTTTTACTTCAGCAATGCAGCAAATTACCTTAGAAGGGTCAGCAATGCAGCCAATTACCATTGAATCTTAGAAGTATGCTTGCCGATGTCGATCAAAGTGGAGTGAACCATTTTTTGCTCAGAAAGTTCTAATAAGAGCAATTTATTGAACATCGTCGGATGCGTGATGAAAACAAATAAAAACAAAACGATCCTCTTCAAAATAAAATTTCTAATAATTTGTTCGATGTTTGTTTCAATGCTTCATTATAAATAATGGCAACGTGATTAATGATAATTTCAAAAATAATAATGAAAGAAATAATCATTGAATTAATAACAGTAGAACTGATAATAAGGATTGAATTAATAAAAATGATTTAATAATTTATATCTGAATTAATATATTTAGTATGTTTTCTGACATTTTTTGTTCTACTCAACAAACAAAACAAAAAAAAAAACAGTTTTTAAAAATTCATCATTATGTAAATAAAATTTTTTATTATGTTTTAAATTTTTTTTGTGTTTACAGCACAGCTAACTCAAGTTGTGGACTTTGTGCTATAGAAAACAGTTTTAAAAAATCCTAACCATTTAGAATGAGGTTTTACCTCATTAAAAAATAGTAGTGCTGATTTATCGTGGGAAGTATTCAGAATTTTACAATGAAAGAAATTTAAAAAAATTAAAAAGTGGAACAACGTACCATTTTTGCAAAATTTTGATACCTTATTTCTACAAAACCTACTATGCGCAGAAGGTGTTAATAAAGATTCGCTAAGCGCAAAAACATTGAGGGCGAAGTGCGTGGTTAAAAATAGCATTAAGAAATATTCTTTGAACAAAAGAATAATTATCATCGACTGACGTATATTACCCAGAGATTTTATTCCTTTTGTTGGCATAGTGGAATCTTCTGCCCCGGTATCTGGGATATCTGGTCCTAAAACAAACAATTAAGCTGTTGACAAATAGTGTAAAGAGTACTTACAGAAATTTAGTACTTATAAATGCATGTTTAGAAATGTTTACATTAAAAATAGTGTGGTACCTAAAGGTGATGTCTTCTCTGGTGACAATGGGACATCTTCGCCATTGGTATCAGGTTTTGAAATGAAATTATAATTTCGTTTGTAACTACTTTACAATATAATTGTAAGAATCATAACTATGTTGCAGACCGTAAATTGTCCTGACAAATTTTGTATGTAAGCTAATTCGCTAATTCTTATCATTTTGTACTTTTCAATATATA